GTTTCAGTGTCAGGACTGGCTCTGCTCCGGGATCACTGGCTGGCACAGGCTGGGCACTGGTCAGTGGGTGGTGAGTAACTGCACTGTGCGTCACCCATTTGTATATTCTGTTATTAGTGTTGTTATCATTATCATTTTAATTAGTAAATAGTATGTATCTCAAACAGTGAGTTTCCTTGCCCTTTTCTTTCCAATTCTCCCCCCTACTCCCTATGGGGGGGCGGAGGGTGAGAGAGCAGGCTGGGTTTGGCTGCAAGCTGCAAGCAAAAAGGGTAAATCCACCCAAACCACCAGTCTGACTAATATTATTAAAGGAAAAAACCCAAACCTCTTTTAACTTCAAACAATTGAAAATTAGCAGCCTTAATAATTTTTAATGCTCTGTAAGAATTTATTCTGTAATGTATTAAAAAGTAAGCAGAGTGCCACATTTTAATTTTTAACTATGAACAACTGAGAGCTTATAAAATCCTCAGTAGAAATCTTTCATAGTAGCAGGCACAAAATCTACACTTTGCAAGCCTCTGCAATGAGTACATAGCCTTGTTTCCTAGAATTCTGAGTTACTTCTGATCTAAAATATGACCAAACTAAAAAAAAAAAAAATTAGATGCCCAAATCCTGCTCTCATCTTCAAAGCATATGGAGCCATTAGAAGGCACTGAAAGGAGTGAAGCACTCAGAAAAAATTGGTAAAACACATGAGAAGAAAAAAAAAAGTAAGTTTTAAAATGCACAACATTTTAACAACATGACCAATGACACTTTGCATGTGCTACAGAAGTCTAAAAATAGAGTTCAATACACTTATACAGTACACAGGGATATTTTCACAGTGCTTTAGGAGCCTTGATTCCAGGTAAGATAAAGAGATGCCATTTCCCCAATTAACGCACTAGAACATTTATACTGCTTCCAGTCCTGCGTTAGCTTGCTCCGAGCTGAGCTGAAGTACCACTGAAAAGCAAAGCATTATGCCTTATAAATGTACACCAGGATTGGAAAATGAAGAGGACAGAAAAAGTGGGATGAGCTTTAGGTCAGAATAATATACGAAAAAATATGCTACAATCTCTTTTAAAAGACTGCATAAAAAGCAAGTTTTATGCAAGTTAAGATTCTTTATGGAAAGCTATGTTATGAAAGAGGGCAAAAAAAAATGCTAGTCTTTGCACAATTGAGACAAACTAGGCAAACAGGATTGTGTCAGGGCACATAAAACGACATAGGACTAAAGTAGTACAATTAATTAAATTTCACATATGGTGCATGTTATGTATAAAGTGGCTATTTTCTAAAACTTAGGCATTTTAACTTATTCAAAATATTATGCCAAAGGCATAATAACCTCCACCCCTCAGCTGTACCTAAGAGCCATGCACATCTCCACCTGACATCAGAATAAGTTAGATGATATTTGCACCCTATGTAAAATAGTTTACATATTTTCTGAGATTGCTCCAAACTTTTATATTATTTTCTAAAAAAACCTCCTCTCTTTCCTACCAACTGAGTGTCAGTGTCTGAAAAGCCATTAAGAAAGTATTTCAGAGCCACTAACTATTCTCACTCTATCCCATGTATTAACGAGCTGATTTAAGTCCAAGCAGGACAGCTCAACTATGAAGCCTGCAAAGGACAAAGATTAGTTTCAAGAAGAAGCAATTCTGAGAATGTGTGAGTTGTTATTACATGCAAAACCAGATCAGGCTGGAAAAAACTAAAACTAGCCTGAAGGGCTGGTAAGGGCCTCGGCATTACCAAAAGGGAAGGGATTAGAGGAGAATTATTTCAGGATTTTGTTACTTTGTAAAGACCTGTAGCTCTCGAGTGCCTTCAAAGTAACTGAATGAAATCCTTTGCTAGGTTTGTGTTTCTGAAGTAGAGGCTAGTTCCAGGAACAAGGGAGGATGCTTCATGTCTCTAGGAAGGGCTTAGGGCCATATTTCAGGCTTTGAAACAGAAAATAAATAACCCATATGTCAGTGTTCAGCTTAGAGACAAATATAGCTCAGAGGTTTAGAGCTCTCTGTTAACTGGTGATCATCTGGGGGAAATTGGGCCAGACCAGCAGTAGTTTCAACTTGAACAATTAATTAATGGATAATCACTGCAAGTAGCTACAATCACAATCCATTTTCATGGAATCATAGAATCATGGAATGGTTTGGGTTGGAAGGGACCTTAAAGATCATCCAGTTCCAACTCCCCTGCCATCAGCAGGGACACCTTCCACTAGACCAGGTTGCTCAAAGCCTCATCCAGCCTGGCCTTGAACACTTCCAGGGAGGGGGCAGCCACAGCTTCTCTGGGCAACCTGTTCCAGTGTCTGACCACCCCTCACAGTGAAGAACTTCTTCCTAATATCTAATCTAAACCTGCCCTCTTTCAGTTTAAATGCTCCTTGTCGTGGACCGTGAGGGAAAAAAGCTAGCCTCTTCACAACTAAAGACAAGCTTCCACTTTCACAGAAAAGTTAGCTGGGCATATTTTGAGCAGGATAAAGTAATAAAAACCTGGAACAACTTCTAATCTTTTTGACTATAATGTACCAACTTCTAGAGAAACATTTTTTCTCTAAGAAGTCAAATGGAATTCAGAGGGGGATACAAACCCTGTCACAGAAATTACTCTGACATTCAAGAATTACCCATTTTTATACCTCTGGACATCATCATATTAAGTATTGTCACAACAGACCGCCATAGTAGTTTTGCTACGTAGCCATATTTGAAAACAATTAAAATCATTACCTCCAAATTCTTTTCTAGCAGGTGCAGGACTCCTACCGCCTTACAGTATTTAAGAAATGAATGCAGCAATAATGAAAAATATCAGTACAGTAAGAGGGAAGAAAAAGAATGAGAAAGTTAAAAATGACAAGGGTCAGTTTGTTATTAACTATGTTGCCCATATGCTTCTGAACATCCAGTTTCTCTTAGTGCTCAATTGTTTACATTTTCAGATGATCCAGATGAACTCTACATTAAAAACTTGGCTATGATAAAATGCATACATACCGATGCCAAAATTAAAGGAATATAAATCAACAAATTACCATTTGAAATTTATTTTAAAAATGAAGATGTTATGAAAATAAAAAATGTTGAGTAAACACTGCTGTAGGAAGCCCACATTTTTAAACTGTGAAAATAAGTTTATAAAAAACTTTTAAAACTTATTCACTAAGCAAAGACACTAATATTTAAATAGTATTGAAAAATGCTGTTACGTCCCATGCTGTTATTGCTATTAAATGTACCAGCTAAACATTTTAGTGAAAAAAGGTATGTTACACTGAGCCCCAAACTAACAATATAACAGGTAGTTTGGGTGTGGACTTCAAAGTTCACCTCACAGACTTGAAACAAAATACTCCTGACCACATGATATACCTCACTGCATTACCTGATGGTGGAGGAGGCCTCTGTGGTGGAGTGGGGCGTGCAGGAGGAGCAACGGGGCGAGGTGGTGGAGGACGTTTAGGCTCCAAGCTCTGAGAAGACTCTTTCTGCTGGGTACCAAGCTGAAATTCAGCTGAAGAACATGACAGAAAACAATGCAAAAATTTGTGACTTGTACATTCTAACCACAGTAAAGCTTTTCTAAGAGCAAGTTATTTTCACAGAGAGGACAGTCAGTCCTCAGCCCTGGAAATGATACAGAATTTTTGGGAGGGAAAACAAGAGGAATAAACCAATGGAGAAAAGAAGCACATTTCCTAAACCAAGATTCTTGTCTCACACATTTTAATCAGTATATGCTTTCCATGGAATCCTGAACACTCTTACAAACTGCAGAGTTCCAAATGTTGATTTTGACCCTTACCTGTGAATCAAGTGCTCTGGAAAAAAATGTTACAAGAGGAACTCTAAAGACATTCTAGCAGTCTTTGTAAAGTTACTCCAAATTACATTGAAATAAACTGTTCTAGAAGCCATTCCAAACACTAATTCTAAATGTTCACTTTGTCACTAAAATTAAGTTGTGTTTAATCAGAAGCTTCCTATTATACACCCAATTTACAAATCTACTGATTACAATTTACATATTACAGCTGATAGGAGCACTAATTGAAACGGGTTGTATTTGAAGAGTATGACTAAAGTGAGCTAGGATTACACTGACACATTGCAACAGAATTTTTGAACAGAGGTTTCATACCAATCAATTTAGAAAGCCTATTAACCACATCACTTTTTGAGATGTCTGTTTCATGATGCAAGTTGGGTAGTTTGCATCAGCGCAGACCAGTGGACAGTGTATTAAATGAGACTCAGGAAACAAAGCTCTTGCACTGCCCATTAGGAAAACCAAGACACAAAGAATCACAGAATCACAGAATGTCAGGGATTGGAAGGGACCTCAGAAGATCATCTAGTCCAATCCCCCTGCCAGAGCAGGAACCTGAATGAGATCACACAGGAAGGCGTCCAGGTGGGTTTTGAATGTCTCCAGAGAAGGAGGCTCCACAACCTCCCTGGGCAGCCTGTTCCACTGCTCTGTCACCCTCACTGTAAAGAAGTTTCTTCTCAAGTTTAAGCGGAACCTCCTGTGTTCCAGCTTACACCCATTGCCCCTTGTCCTACCATTGGGCATCACTGAGAAGAGCCTGGCTCCATCCTTCTGACATTCACCCTTAACATATTTATAAACATTAATGAGGTCAACCCTCAGTCTCCTCTTCTCCAAGCTAAAGAGACCCAGCTCCCTCAGCCTTTCCTCATAAGGGAGATGCTCCACTCCCTTCATCATCTTGGTGGCTCTGTGCTGGACTCTCTCAAGCAGAATGAGGTGGGTTGCCCAAGGCCACTTACGTGTAAAATGCTAGGTAACAACAAGAATAGACTTCTATATTAATCTAAAAACTCTATTAAAAATAATCTATAAGCTAGTATTCTACCACTGGACCATACAGCTGTGAGACTGCATAGTAGTAATAGAGGCAGTTGAGCAATGTAATACACACTGTGGGTGGAAACAGGTGGTCCGGGTGTTTTTGCTGGTGCTCGGCTCGGTCTCACTGGGAGCGTAGGTCCATCTGACAGCGTAGGGGATTGACAGGGACTGGAGCGCGGCGAAGAGCTTGGAGAGGTTCCAAGACCAGAGCTGGAAGTTGGCTGTAGATGCTGAGGAAGGATTTCTTCTACTTCAGCACTATAATCATCTATGTCTCCTAAATAACAAACCACAATCCAAAAAAGAAAAAGCATGTAAAATAAAGGTAACAATAGTTACTTATTTTAAGAAGTGGGAAAATTATGAACTGATTCTGGGCATGGGATTTTATGCAAAAAGCCCTTAAGTTCCAGTGAATTAGCTCAACAACCAAAATATTATTCTTGCATCATAAAATCACACATGAAGAAAGCATAAATTAAAAATACTCCAAATGCAAAATATATATTACATATATATTATAGGTAATTATAATAGGGCAGTAAGTGTAATGTTGCTTAATATAAGGAAAAATTAGCTTTACAAAGACAACCTTTGCAAAAATTATTTTCCAGTTTTGCAATAGATGGCAAGCTTCACTTATTCTTCAAAGATATCTGCTGTTTGTAATACCTTCTGTTTGAAAAGGTAGAATGATGTTTAAAAAAAAAGTTCAACATTGATGTGCCTTTGAAAAGTAAACTGTCAATTTATAATATTTTTATGCTGATATTCAAAATGCCAGAAATAGACAATTATCCCATCACACTCCAATAAGCCCATAGCAATTCTTTCTTCCACAACTTCTAGGCTTCTCTCTCTTCAAGTACATGAACGACACACAATGTTCTACAGAAGTTCCAGCTTCAATAATTTATATCCCGCTTATAGGGTGTCTCCATGAACAGTAAAAGTTGCCTGAATGAAGTGACCCTGAGAGGGCAGGTCACAGGATAAAGTGAGAAGAATAAAGAGAATGTCAGCAAATTAGTAAAACCTAGAGACACAGTGCAAACTGACACTGCTCAACAAGTTGTCAAGATACTGTGGAAAATAATGGGATTTCTAATTTATCTGTTTTAGATGGGCATAAACTTGTTAAAATATCGATATATGCATCAAACTAACCACATTATTTAAGTCTGCAAGAATTTCAAAATGAGGAATATTTTATTTCAACAAACCTTCCATATCATAGTCTGCAGTAACCTCAGCATCTTCACAAAGCAAAGTGGAGCTTGTTGATGAAGGCAGCCCAATATTAATCTTCTCTAGATTCATTTCATCTTCCAAACTTCTGATCCAATCTGGATTTTTCAAGCTTATGTTTATAATTCTTCCTAGTAGCTGAATTGCCAAAAGAAGCATGCACAAAACAGAAATTGTTAAGAGTAGGAACGTTAAAATTCAGCGTTCTAGATTAAAAAGCAAAAAACCAAAAATTACTGAAAGTATCACAAATAAGATGCTCAGAATTTCTGTGACTACATAACGAGAGTGATATGTCACAAAAATAATTGTGCTTTTAACTTCATTTTGGTAATTAAGTACATTTATGTGGTTTAAACTGTTAGCTACAACTTTTTAATATTTTTCTAAAGAAAAACTAACAACTTAGAATCATAGTGGTTGGAAAAGACCTTTAAGATCCTTGAGTCCAACCATTAACCTACCACTACCAATCCTACCTATAAACCACGTCCCTAAGCACCTCATCTACCTGTCTTTTAAATACCAGCAGGGATGATGACTCCACCACTTTCCTGGGCAGCCTGTTCCAATGTTTGACCACCCTTTCTATGAATAAATTTTTCCTAATATCCAACCTAAACCTCCCCTGGTGCAACTTGTAGCCAGTTCCTCTCATTCTGTCACCCATTACCCTGGAAAAGAGACCAACACCCACTTCTCTACAACCTCACTTCAGGCAGTTGTAGAGAGCGATAAGGTCTCCCCTCAGCCTCCTCTTCAAACTTCTCTCAACTTGTCTCATAAGATTTTCTTTTTCAGCTAATAGGAAAAATTCTAGTTTCTTTATTCCGACAGAAACGCTACTCTTTGTAAAGAAAAACAGACTTGCTTATAAACTACATTAATAAAGTAATTTTTAGAGACTGATAAAACAGCAGGCCTTTATTCTGCAAACTGGCACATGACACTGAGCTGCTATCTTGCATGGACTGTAGTGAACTCTAAGGATCCAGCTGTAAACATCACGTTACAGAATCTAAGTTTTAACAGGAAGAGAGATGAGTAAAAATTTGAACATGAAAATTAAAATTTTTACAAAGATTAAATACTGACCCTACAGAAGTCAATGAGAGCTGAAATTTTGACATTTTTAAAGTGACTGCAGTACAGAAGTGCTGAATTTTAAATAATTGACAGCCATAAACATGATAAACTGGTTCATACTACAAACTCAAGGTAAATACTTTGCTTTTAAATCATTAAACAAACAAAAAAATTAAAAATCCCTTGTTTGATGAAAATGTCCCTCAATATAGGATTTTCATTTCTCTATCAATCCTCCTCCTAAAAATAAATTAAGTTTGTTACTTCTCTCAGCTGGTTTTTGAAACTCAGCATAATGCTATGTGGCTATCAAAAGTAAACAAAAAAAGATTAGATGCAACAGTCTAATGAAAAATTTTCAGAAATTAAAAACAGACAAACCCACCCAAATATTCTTTAAAAAGCTGGATTTTCTCTTGCTATACAAAAAGTTAAGTAATTTTTACATTACCTCAGTACCATTCAAATTCATAACATTCAAAGCAGAGCTTCCTTCCAAAAATGTTACCCACATCTTGTCTTCCACAAACCTGTAAAGTCCATTGGAAACAATAATTAAAATACTTCATCCTACCTACTAACTTTTGAAGCCTGTTATCTTAAAAGTCTTCAATGTTTCACTTCTTTTAATAAGCTTTAACTGAATGTATCCTTCCAATTAAAAAAAAATAAAAAGCAAAGGAGAACCAGGTAAATAGCATACAGAGAAACTACTGTCTTAAAAATTATGTGACTACAGTTATACATTCAAAAGTAATTGTGTGGCTACAGGTTAGATATTTGTATTAGATATCCCATGTTACATCACACTATGGACTTGACACTACGCTCCTAGTCTTCTGGGTGGAAAAAAAAACCCCAAACAACCAAAAACAACAGAACAAAAAAACCCCCAAACCCAAACAAAATACCACAGCACTTATAGTTCAATTAACAGCCTGGTGAAATTGCAACATTTACAGGGATCCTCTTATATTCAGTTAATTTAAAACTACTAACCTAAGTTTAGAATACAAAATTTTTATAAAATCACATAAATAACAAATTTTAACTCTGACTGATTTATGACAAAGATGATACTCTACGTCAAAAATAAAAGTATCTGGAAAAATCAAGTCTGAAAACTGAACCACGTACAGGTATCCAATTTTCAACTGTAAAGTCATTAAAGTTGAAATCTAAATGTTAAAAATTAAGCAGATCATAACTGAAATACAAAGGAAGTAACTTTATTCAGGAAATAAGTGAGAACAATGAAGAGGAATAGAGATTAAAAGTAAAAAGTCTTTTTAACCTTATAAGTATAACTTCACCATAGCTTGCAAATTTTTGAAGAAGATCATCAATCAAGTTATCATCAAAATAGTTTTCTTCTGCTGAAGAACTTCTGATGGAGACCATTACAGTCCCATCAGGTGGTCCTTGCATTGCAATCACTTCCTTGTAAACTTTTTGTCTCTCTTCTGCTTCAATTTCAAATATGTCAATGTCGATCAATGCAACCACAGGCCTTGGGAAAAAATATACGAGAAAAACTTGTAAGCAAAGTATCTGAGCAACAAAATACGTAACATGAATAATAAATCTTCAATGATTAGGAACTAATGTATAAAATAAAACTGAAACCTATGATCAGATGTTTTCAGCTCTGCTCTTCCATAGTGCAACAAAGTTCCAGGATTCCACGTATAAGGAACATTACTGTCATCATGAAAACTAGCATTCAGAAGATCCAGGTCTTCAGCTACGTTCAGTATTAATGAAAACAAAAGGGAAAAAACACAGTGATTACAATAATATGCTTTTAAAAAATAAGCAATTTGTAAAAAAATAAAGAAATTAAACAAAAGCCAAGTCTTTTACAGAAAAAAAAAAACAGAACTTCCTTTTGAACTACTGAAACACCACTAACTCATATCTAATCCTTGATCCCCCTTGTTCACCATCACTGTATTTACTACAGATGCTATTGTAAGCTGTCTCATACAAAGTCAGGGATAGAAGCTCAGAATCACTAGCCCTGTGAATGTCACTAAATGGATTCTACAAGCCAGTTAAAAGAATATTATAAACACTTTAAGGAAGCACTCAAACCTGATCGGTCAAAAGGCCATTTTCTTCTTCTCCAAAGAATACGATCTGTCCATGCCGGTGTGCGACATTTTTCACTGGTGTCATAGTCATCAGAAAACAGATCATATTTGTATGTAGGAGCAAAATTTATTTTCCCTTCCAAAAATCCCCTAAAAATCTGTAAGAAACAAAGTAGTTATGTCATGCCAGAAGACAGAAACAGATGGGAAACAGCTTGAAACTAATCAGAATTCTCTTTTCTGAAGTGAAAACCTACATACACATCTCAAAAAAAAAAAAAGTCTTTTGATAATATTAATCTTTCTCCAAATGTTATCTGCTGAAAACATTCTACATTTGCCATTAAATAAATAGTGACCCAGACAGATCACCATTAAACAGAAGTATGTCAACTTTTTTATCTTTAAACCTAGGCTCATGAGCAACTTATCATTCCTCCAATGTCATTCAGAATTTGAGGTCATCTAGAACACAGATGTTGTTCACAGCACTTTAATTAGTTGGTTAGTTGCTCACATGTCAGCAAAAGTTGGGAATTAAGGTTTATACTTTATGTACCTATCTGAACATGCAAAGCATTCCCCCAAATAACACAAGATGCCCCACCAATAAATAGGAGTTAAGGAAAAAAAACCACAAACAAATAAACAAACAAAAAAAGTCCTTAATGCATTCAATATGAACTGGAAGATTAGAGAGGTCTAGAAATAGGAAAAGAGAATAAAAAGAGATACTATGTGAAGTTATCTGCCAAGAGTACGTATGGTATTTAGAGATACAGAGTCAACTGAAAGGAATAAAAAGAAAACGTTAGGTACTTTGCAACACAAACAGATACAGCCAGCTGACACAAGACCCTAGAAGGCCAGGAGATTTGCACACTCCTTAAGTGTTTAAACTAGACTTAAGCTAAAACCCTTTAGTGAACCTAACCAGCTCCAGTCTTAAGTTTAGTCTTGTATGGGCAGTTTGACTTCACATTAGAGAGCTGTAAAATATCAATCTAACTTAGATTATAAAATCTGCATCAAATGACAGGTTAGTCTGCTTTCCTTGTTGGAAATATAAACTGAAATCCAGTCAATTTAAAAATCAATGTCAGAAGATCAATGTCAGAATGTCAGGAGATCCGCAACTTCTGAGACAACTTATTAATTTCTTTGCCTTTGGTAATTATTTCTTCACCTATTTTTTACAAAGAAAGTTGCTATGTAAACACCTTTCTAGAACAGCTGATACACCGGTTAACAGCCACACACAGTAACCATGGAGCTACCCTCACTGAGCTGATACCCCCTGCTGCCCTGCCAACCACTGCCAAATAATGGGATATTACCCCATCGGTGCAATACTACCCCCGTCTTCTCCCCAGACAGGAGATTATTTTGAGTCTTTTTCATATTCTGGTAGTTTCCATAGATCTTTCCAGCTTTATAACCGCTGTAAGTGTCCCCAAAACCTCTACATCTCTCTTGTTTTAGTCTAATTAACAGATAATCATGCTGCCTGCCCATTTGAACATAAGTCTCTTATTCCCTAGGAACTGGGCTATTAAAAAACCAAACCAAAACAAACAAAAAACCCCCCACCAAAAATTCAAACAAGTGTTTTTCCTCCTGTTTTGGTCCACAAGAGACCAGCACAAATGGAAGAGAAATCTAATTGAGAAAAAACACTGCTTATGATCAAGTGCTCACAAGCAGACAAAACTAACAACAGAGGACTGTGTCTCTTTTCATCACTACAGCATTCCCACATAAAGCCAGGAAGAAAGAATACGCACTTTCACACAAAATCTGATTAATTACAAATATTCCTTTAATTGCTATGTGTTGCCTTCCAAGAAACCCTAAAAATCTAAAATCTGAAGCTTTCTTCAGACTTTGTTATTCCATGCTCTGCCCCTCTACTCCGCTCTCGTAAGGCCCCACCTGGAATACTGCGTCCAGTTCTGGGGCCCCCATCACAAGAGAGAACTGGAGCAGCTAGAACAAGTCCAGAGGAGGCCACCAGGATGACCCGAGGGCTGGAGCACCTATCCTACAAGGACAGGCTGAGAGAGTTGGGGCTGTTCAGCCTGGAAAAGAGAAGGCTCCAGGGAGATCTTATAGCGGCCTTCCAGCACCTGAAGGGGCTACAAGAAAGCTGGGGAAGGACTTTTCATAAGGGCAGTTAATGACAGAACAAGGGGAAATGGGTTTAAACTGAAAGAGGGGAGGTTTAGATTAGATATTAGGAAGAAGTTCTTCCCAGTGAGGGTGGTCAGACACTGGAACAGGTTGCCCAAGGGAGCTGTAGATACCCCCTCCCTGGAAGTGTTCAAGGCCAGGCTGGATGAGGCTTTGAGCAACCTGGTCTAGCAGAAGGTGTCCCTGCTGATGGCAGGGGGGTTGGAACTAGATGATCTTTAAGGTCCTTTCCAATCCAAACCATTCTATGATTCTGTGCTCTTTTTCTTTGGAAGTAAAAAGGCTACTGTTTGGACTATTCCTTTTTCCAGCAGAATGACAGTAACAGCATTAGACCTATTACTGCAGCCATTTAAAGTAAACAGTAACATTAGCAAAAGAATTTCTATAAATATTTTTTAAAATAGTTGCACCTGATAAGAAGAAAAATATTATAATTAGTAAACTCCAACACAAAGTTCTAAAAAGACGATAGAGCTTCCTTTTTTTTGAGGAGAGAGAGAAAAACCTGACTCCTACACCTAGTCACTGTATTTGTATCACTGCCTTTTCAGGACAGTTACTATGAATAAGTTATTAAATGTTGCTATGCCCCACCCTTCCATACCACTACCTGAACAAAAGAGTGATAAGTAAAACATGATGAGGATATAGATTCACAGAAGCCCCACAGAAAATTGCTAAAGCCAAAAAGAAAAATAAACTATTCTTAAGCACTTTTAAGATACCTGTCCAGAATTTTTCTGATTGATAAGTTGGTCTCCTGCTATAAGGGAATCCCAGTTCTGTTGTCGTATTAGGTCCTTAACCTCCTCATTTGGAATATCTATTCGATAATTAAAGTCACCACACCAAAAGATATAGTCATGGGAAAAAAGCATTCTTCCCTGTAAAACAGAAGCACACAATGAAATCAAAAGCAATCAAGTAACAAACTTACTGCTTCCAGGTGAAGAAGTTCAGTTTGTAACTGTAGAATATGCATCATTTCTAGCTGATGAGGACAACTGAAATACATGTTAGTATTCAGTCTTCATGTGGTTAGAAAAACAGAGCCAACTGCATGGCATTCACACATACAGAATATGAAAGAAGAAGTAACATTTTCTTATGTACTTTGCATTTCTAAAGAAACATGAATCATCTGAATTGGATCCTAAAAGTCTTCATCTTCCTACTCCTGTTTTGGAAGTCTGCTCTAAGATGACAACTGCTGAATGTGTCACAAATTGGTTACAAAGGAGAACAAAACACTACCCTGGGATCTTGTGACACAATACCCTGAAAAACCGCAAATCAAGAGCTTTATGATTCAGATTTCATTGAAGACTTTTCAGTTACGTACAATTTTCATGGCTAGGAAGAGACAGAAGGGCTCTGTTAGTTTAAACAAAGCCTAGGGTTTAAAGTGAGAACTTTTACTTGCCTCTTTGTTTTGATTTTTACATTGCCCTTAAGTAAATCAAAGCAGATATGCTGGCAGATTTAAAACAGCAGCATTTAGGAAACTGTTTCTGGGGACCATAAGGATACAGCACGTTCAAGAAAAAGTGAAACATAACAATAGGGACAAATTTAGAAGTTAAAAAAACCCTGTAAAATAAGATGTCAAACTCCTGCACAGTGCCATAGAAACTAACAAACGACAGTTTGACTACAAAATTTAAGACAGCTTTAAGTCTCAAGGAAGCATTTTGTTGCACTGAAATTTATCAAGTATTTACTTGGTGTTTGATAATGCTTTACAAGAATATGGTGCAAAACTGTACAATCCAACTCAACAAAAATGAGTAAACAAGAAGTTAAAATGAGTCAGCAGAAATCATCCCTGTGTACTGAAAACAGTGCTGTTTCCCATGGATTTTTTTTTCCCATAGTTGATTAACTCCAGTGCCTACAAAAGTTCTACTGCATGTCAGGAATCTATAAGGTCTCTCTCCTGTGCTAAATCCTTGATGCCTAATGCAAGTGAATTCATGCCTCAACATCTCTATCAGTCATTGCACTGGAAAGGTCTATTCTTTCTGTAGACATCCATTTTAATAGAAATTGTAGGAAATTTGACCTCCAACACAAGGAAATTTGATTTCCACAAGAATCTAGGAAGGGGAAAAAAATAAATGGAGCTTTTGGATCACACTGATGGAACAAAAAGGGTTTAACTTCTCATTTGTTACGGAATTTGAACACTGTTGCTTACCATTGGAAAACTGAGCTTGCGAGCTATTTCTACGAAGTCTTCATTTCTCTCTTTAACTTGTGATTGCCCTGCAGCAAAATGACTGCAGACAAAGCAAAGACTGGATGTATGAAACAACATTCGAATAGCTACTGCACCTTTGTTACCAGTGGCTCCTCCCATGCCAGTCTTTACAGTATCAACAGCAACACCCCTAAAAAGAGTTAAACAACTATTAAACCTTCAAATACAATGGCACAGAAGTGAACAGCTTTAAGTATGTCTGAGTATGACATTATGTTGGTAAGAGAACATTTCTACATTGTTCTTTCAGCACTAAGGCCACCGAGCTATTTTGGAAAAAATGCCAACAGCTACTGAGCAGGTAACAATATAACACTTCAGCTTTTCAAGCTTTTTTGGCAACTGATGAGGCATTTAAGAACTGAGATAAAAGCATTTCAGCAACTAGTTCCCCAGAAGATGGAACAGCTCTTTTAGAGTCCCATATGCTTCTTAGTACACTTGTATGTCAGCTTGCAGTACAAAGCAAACTGAAGGTGACCCAACTTGGGCACAGCTGTGTGTTCACTGACCTGATAAAAGGAGCATGCTGGGGCCTGATGAACACAAAAAGGCAGACACCCACCAACTGCTCAGAAGCCAGCAGCACATACTTGTAATCTCTTGATATAGTCTTCTGCAGTTCAGCAGCCCAGAGCTTCTGATTGGTTGTGCTAGCAGTGAGATTAAAAATGCCAGTTTTAAAATAAGTCAAATTAAGCAGGTATCTAAGCTGTTGATCTAGTTTAATGAACTTCGTACAATAACCTTAACTAAATCTTGGGGTAGTAAGCCAAAGCCAAGTTGTGAATGATGCTCAAATATCTCCTAGCAGAGACACAGGTGACAGACTGTCATGACATCATCATTTCAAATTCAGTCATAAAATGCTGCATCACTTTTCTCAACACCACAGACAATGTTAGGAGCCAGGGCTATCTTTCCTACATTTCTGAGGCTAGACTAGAGGAGCAAAAGGTAGCGAGATGGACTGTTAACTGGCTGGTGGGAAGA